GTATATTGGCAAGAAAAGGTAGAGCAAGGAAAATGTGTGTGATAGAGGGTAGTGGAAGAATTAAGTTCAAGAGTAACTAATTTTGACAGTACTCACCTAAGACATTAGTTAGAACAGATCTTTTTATGGATTGAATTGCTCCATTACAGAAAGTAGGTAATAGCTACATTACACTATAATGAGCCCTACTACTAGTTATTTAAAAAGCAGAGAAAACTCTTGAAAATATTTAGAACTGAACTTCAAATTTTTATTTTTCTGTTCTTCACTGAAAAGTTGATAGCCAGTTTTTGACTGAAGCTGATACTTAAAGTCCTAAATTAATCTTCTGCTGTTATCCATGTAGGTGAGTTTTCTAAGTAGGACATAAGATCAGTGTGTTATAAAAATCTTATTTCATGCTGTTTTGTTTAGCAATTTGAGATTCACACAGAGGCTTTTCTTTACCTATAATCAGATTTTAATAGAGGGGATTAAAGCAGATCCTTGCTAACTGCTGGTTCTGATGTGTCATGTGTTGACCCAGGTTTTAATGTTATTGCGTAGCTGGTGCTCCAGGTCTTTGATCTGCAAAGAAAAACATTACTGATGTGGTTTGTGCTAGACTTAGCCTTAAATGTCTAAGTAAACTCAATGTTTTCTGGAAGGTCATTGAAGAGGTGATTGTGTCTTTCCTCTTGCAAGGGCAAATTCTTTGCTGAGGCTTTGCACAAACATCTGCACAATTTTTAGTGAATTTGTAGGTCCACTCTAGAAAGTGAAAATAATCATCTTTCAGGAGAGGTATGACCTTTTGCTGAAGGTATATTTTATTTTGAGGTTGATATGATTCTTTGATTCTGACTTAATTATGTCTTCTTCAAAGTACCCTCATAACTATTAACCTTGTTACTGCTCTGTTAAACTCTAGAAGATGGCAAAACTTCTGGGAGAATTGTTCTGGCACTTTTTCTCATATACATAAGATTTTGTTCCTATGGGCATAAAGGAAAAAATCATGCTGCTCTTTGGCAGTTCATGTAGGTTCTGATCGCATTTGAGAGAGGACTTAAATCTTGACCTTATGCTTAGATTTTCTTTCATCGTATGAAGATGTGAATCAGCATTTGGAGCTTGTTGCTATAGCTACAATATATAATTTCTTTGCTAATGTGAATCCTTGAAATCTCTAGTGCATTCTCTAGTTATTAACTTTTTAGATGCCACAATATAGAGAAGATGCGTTTCCTATACAAAATGTGATCTGTCATGGCTGACCAGTCTCTCAATGCTGAGAACCCAGCTGCCCATGTAAGTCAACATCTCTCCCTGGCTTAGCTGAACAGGATACTTCAAGTGGAGGAGCAAGAGAATCCAACTTGGAGTGCTGATCTGGTGAAGACAAAAATCAGCACCTGCAGTATTGTATATCCTAAGCTTGAAGGAGAACAGCAGCTTGTTTAGATAATCTTTGACAACCTTATCTAGGATATTATATGTGTTTCACATCACTGTCTAGCCTAATAAAAGGTTTATTGTTGCAGCTGTGGTAACTACTGTCTTTGGCACCAGTGTGCTACCAAGTTGGATCATGAGGGTTTCAAGCAGTTTTCTGACTTTCCCATTTTATAGGTGATTTTATATGTAACTTGTATCTTGGAGACTTAATTAAGCACATAAATGGCAGCTGGTGTAGATAAAGATTGAAACTTTATATCTTTAATTGAAATTTTATTAAAAATCAATATTTCCATGCCTAAAGGCACTTTCTCTTTGCAAAAGTGTAACTATAAGGATATTCTTGTGAATTTTATAACAGCTTGTCTTTAATCTGAATAATTTGTGTGTAGGGTTAAGGTTTAGGGGGTTTTTTAGTTGACCTATAAAACTTCCACTGAAACTGTTTAGTCTTCCAGAATGATACTCCCTCTGGAAAAGAATTAACTTATTGTTTTCATGGATACAGATAGAGCTCTAGACCTCTCCAAACCTTTTTGATTGTGCACCCTATCGGTAAAAAAAAATTGACCATGCACCACCAATATCTGTATATTTATTTATAAATGATACACATGTACTACTGTATTAATCTATTATGTACATTATAAAACACACCCAAAAATGGAAATTAAAGATGAGATAAAGAGTAAATAAAACACTATTTTTACAGTGCAAAAATATTTTCTTTTTACACCTCAATGGATTGTCTTGCACACCTCTCCAGGTTTTCACACCCCACTTTGGAGACCACTGCTCTTCCTATGGGGAGACGCCCCAGGGTACATAAGAGATCTAAAGGTCAGAGAAATTATCTGTGAGGAGTCCTGCAAGTTTTCTGACATTATGTGTTAGAGACTGCATTTAAAGCAGGTGCTTGTGCCAGGGTTTGATCCCTGTATATGAAATGGATTGATTTGTCTTCCCTTCCTACTTTTATATGTCTTGAACTGGGAATAGGAAAGGCCAAATGAAGTATTATAACATTCAGTGGTCTGTTTTACAGTGGCTTTTCACATCCAAGAAACAATTGGATATTGACTTTGTTTATTGCAGAACCTAGGAGTGCTTGCTTTATTTTTTGTAACTTAGATGATATCTTTGTTCTCTTAATTTGGACTAAAATGTTCTGATGTTTGACTTTGAATGCTGTTGATGTATGTTTTTTTAGTCTTAGTATTCAAATTCACATAGTCTATGTTTGGGACATCTTTGCAGACACTTTGCTAGATATTAACCTATAAACAAGCTTTTGTCTTTAAGGGAAACTTGGGGTTTGGGTGTTGATTGGTTTTATATTTTTTTTTTTTCCCCTTCCAAAAGTTCATTGTCCACCAGGAATCTATTCCACAGCCAGTTTAGGAGAGAGCAGGGCAATCTGGTATATTCTTTAAAAAGAAAGAAAAAAAAAAATCCTATGGTGTAAACCATTCAGTCAAATAATATTTATAAGCTTAAGAAAGGGGAGCTGCTTTGGACTGTTCTAATCTTAAGACATGATGATTCTAAATTTCTTTGAAATGTGAACTTTGTAGCTTTACTGTGTGCTGTCCCAGGAGTTAGTTTGCTTGTCCTTTTCCCTTACCCCTTTATTTGCAATGTCTTAGCATGTGTCAGACATGGCAGGAGTTTGTAGAGCCTATTTTGGGGCAGTAATTGTGTGACTTTTACATGGTTGGCTTCCTAAATTTCTGCATCCCACTCCTTGTGTATCTGCAAACATCATGTGTTGTTCAAATGCCATTGTTTTTAAATTGATGGGTGGTGATGAGATATGAATAAGAATGTAGGTAGAGTTAACTTCCTCGATAAACTAAGTATATGCTGCTGCCTTATACACATTTCAGACCAGTGTGTCTGTCTATATGCTGTTAGTGTACTGTGATCTGCATTTTTTTATTGAAACACAGTTATGTTAACATATCCCCACCATCATTTTGTAGTGAAATTCAGCAAAAGAGAAGTTACATCACAATGCTGTTTACCAGTAAAGTTGTTGCAGATCATTAGATCTTCAGTTAGTCATATTGGAATCTTACACTATGAACTACTGTACAGTGTTGATAATCCACGTAACTAGAGCTGTGGTGCACTTTGTTTAGAAGTACAATTTGTTGCTGTTCTGAAAATCATAGATAAAAGTAAAGCTATCTTTTTCCTGATGTCCAACGTGCTTCAGAAGCCATAGCCATATTTAGGGTCAGTAACAGCAGTTACAGAGTTATTTTCATTGTGCTACTTCATGCTGCTTTGAAGTCACAACCTTCAGTAGTGTGAGAACCAGGTCCTGACCTCCGAGACCACAGAATGTACAGTGTTTTAGTTAAACACCTGAAGTTAAACACAGTTGTGTTGCTTTGACTTTCAGCAGGGTATATTATGAGAAGAATTCAATATTGTATTGATAGGAGAGGAGAATTCTGAGGTCATCTTGTTATTTGGCCAGTAGTATTTATACTGTGTTATTCTGATAACATAGAACATCAAATGCAGAACAAGACTTCCTTCTGACCATCTCCTCTTCCATTCTCAGAAGAGAGGTGATGTCTGGAAAATATATGTCAAGCCCTTTATTCTGTGAACTTTCTAGAGATTTGGGGCAGGAGAGAGGGAGCTGCAGGGGCTCAGTAGAGAAGTATGAATTGGTGCTGCAGCTGAAATTCTTTTCATTGTTTTTCTGTGGAGAAGCAGGACTTAAAGTATGATGCTGAATTTATCCACTCCCTAAGATACTAACAGTACTTGCACATAAGAACAAGAAGTCACTTACTGCATGGCTTGTCACTATTTGGTTTCCAGTAACTTCTTGTCATTACTGAAGTGCAGCAAATCAGTTTATCCTTAGTTGCACAACTCAAGGTGAAGAAACAAAGCTGCTTAGGCACTCAGTAAATTAAATTTTGTTTACGCCTTAAGAGATGTCTCAATCCACTAGTACAAGTGGCATTAGAATACAGCTTCCTGTGTCCTGATTTGGTTGACTGTCTTCAGACTTTTTTGTGTCAGGAAGAGTTGGCAGGTGCTATTTATAAAATAGAATGCACAGTTTCATAATTGGGATTTAAGTTATGGATCATCTGTACTCACTTGCTTGTAGTTATGATGCTGACTTATTTCTCTGCATCTGGTTTCTCAGTGTGAAAAACTTCAGTATGTGTAGAGGCAGGTAGAGTAATTTAGCCACATAACTAGGATCCCAGGTGCAGGAATGGAAAAGCAAAATGAGCTAATGTGAGCATTTTTTTACAAGCTGTAATGAGATTTGTTTTAATTTTTTTTAATCACATGAGTTACCTAGTGCACTTGGGTACTTAGTACAGTTCAGATGCAGTATGTAAGGAGGGACCAAGGTTGTTTTTACTATCTTAAATGCATAGATGAGGGAAAAGAAATCGAGCAACCTAATTTTCATTTTCCTTGGGCAGTTACTTATATTACTGGAACATTCTTCAGCATATATGAAGGTGTTGGATTTTTTCAAGCTTTTCTTGGTATGTTGGCTCTAAAATTTTGCTTATTAGATTATGTTTACATTGAAGGGTGAAGATGTCAACCGGACACTTGAAGGTGGGAGGAAGCCTCTTCACTATGCAGCAGATTGTGGACAGCTTGAGATTCTGGAATTTCTGCTATTGAAAGGAGCTGATATTAATGTATGTACATCAAGTTGCAAACAGAGTGTTAAGGTCTTCACACACACCCCCCCATATATAAAGGTTTGGTATAAGTGCCTAAATGGTTACTGAAAGACTTAGATCAAACTAAACAAATTGATGCATTTAAAAATGTTTGAGAGGTGGTCTCCTAGAGGTTAGAAGCTTAAAATCATGTTTATTAAATGTTTTTATTCTTTTTAGATACACTAGGAAAAGTTATGTGTAGCTATAAAAAGTTTAAATTTAATTTGACCATGATTAGATGGGATTACTGGATTTATTTTTCTAAATAAAGTTTTCATGAAATACATATTACATTTGTAGGAAGGGACTTCAGACGACAGTGCAATGTATCCTTGGCCAAAGCAGGATCACCTCTGTTTAAATTGGTGTGCTTCTCTCTTTTGGAGACATTCTGACTTGTACAAACTTAGTCATTTTGCCGTAGCTTGAAATGCGTGGCTTTTTGTCATGAAAAGACTTGGCTGTGCTGTATTGGCACTTCAAAATAGTCTAGTTCTCCATAAAGTGAAGTTTCTAAATACTTTAACCATACACCCCAAACACTGTGCTTTAGAATACTTTTCTGAAAGTTAATGTACAACACATACTAGCTTTAGTCCTTAACAAAATGGCTTGGATTTTTTCTTTGGTGCCTGGAAAGATTATTTCTTTCTCAGGAGTTCTGACTGGAGAGGAAGAAAAAGTAAGAACGTTTCAGTTGCTCCATTTCTTACTCTTTCCAGGGCTATGGTTTAATTTTATTGCCCATACAACATTTCAGCCAAAACTGGTTTCTGAAGTCAGGCTGGCTGAGGAATGGGAGAATTAGGAGTACTGTTTTTAAATTGGGCAAAATTTGTCTGCTGAAACCCTGCAATTTCTATCATCGGCCTAAAAAAATAAATAAACTTTGGGATACCTAGAAGTCTTGTGGAAGAAATATCTTGCTGTTACCTGACTTTTTTTAAACAATTACTTTTCTTTTTCAAAAATGAGAGTAAAAAAATTCTGAAGGAATGCATTTCTGGATAATGTTCTTAAATCCTTACCTTCACTCTGCTGTTGACAAAACAAAGTTAAAAAGTTGAGTGAAACCTTTCAATGCTGTGTGAAATTGTGCTTCAAATAACTGTGTCTCAATTTACAGGCTCCAGACAAACATAATATCACACCACTCCTATCAGCAGTCTATGAGGGACATGTTTCCTGTGTGAAATTGCTTCTGTCAAAGGTGAGATACAAATGTTTAGAACAAATTGTCATTTACAAAGTGTTTTACTGTGATTTTCTTTTTTAGTAAGATTATGAAGCTCCAGATAAGTTCAGAACATCAAACAAATGCTGTTTATGTTACTAAACTAGAGAAGGTACTCTGATTATGGAGAAGACAGTTGAAGGAGAAAGTTCCCGGAGTTTTGCAGTGCAGCAAAAGTAGTCGTAACCAATAAGAGACTATTGTGAGCTCCAGCTAGAGAACAATTAATGGCAATTCAGGCAAGGGAAAAAAAAAAAGTATTCCTTCAGCAGACAGGGAGGAGTGGGATTAGCTTTGGCAGCTGCTCAAGTGTTTCATGTGATGGAATCTCCACTGTGAAGTTGCTCAGAGGTGTGGTTTCCCTCTGCTTTTGCCAGATGACTGAAAACCCATCTGGGTTGGCAGAGTGAGGGGAAGTAAAAGTAGGAAGACAAGCTTTCTCTGTTATAGAGCTTGTAAATTTTGTCCTGGGGAGAATAAGCTGTTTCTGTTCTCCCCTTGATTCATATTACAAAAGTGATCCATTTTGCAAAGCAGTAGTTAATTCAAGCAATGTTTTGTCTCCATTCGTATGTGCTCCTTCTTGTTACACCTCACTTACTTTGAAAAGAGGAGATTCATTGACTGAAAATGCACTATTAACCCACTTAAATCATTTGGCCAAAGGATTTCATGCTGTGTAATGCTTTCATATGCCACTTCCCCGGTAAAATGGTTTTCCTTAACTGCTGTAATGCTGCTTGAATTTCACTATCCTTCACTTCTTTGATCCTGTCTGCTGTTAGTTATGCCTTTCTGTGAAGAAATGCTGTGACACTTAATTTAGGATTCAAATGGTCCATCTAACCTGCTTAAATTTGTTGTGAGGACTGATCCTTCATTTAGAATCCTTGTATACTATGCTTTATTCAGTGTTGTATTTTTTTCACTTCTGTTCTGAAGTGTTTTGCATTCTAAATAATTTGCTCAAATACTAAATAAGATGCCTTAAAACTTGAGTTCACACAGGAATTGTCTGGTAACTGGTAAGAGTTGTGCATTCATTGTAGTCTCTGTCAGAGAGGGCATTAAGGTCCTTCCTGAAGTAGCTATTTCTCACACAGCTTGTGAGAATGTATTGATTACTGTACTCACTACAACTTGAATGGAATTGGTTAAGCTCAACAGTCATAAAGATGAGGCAATCTTGCAAAGATGTGCAGAATATTACAGGAAAGTGAACTTGGACTAGGAGATGAGGTTAGAAAAATGTTACAAGCTTTCCCAAACTATCTGGTTGCAGTAACATTTTCAGATTTCTTCATGCAGAGCTAAATGTTGTACCACATCTGCTTGCTTCTGTTCACATGGGCTAGCTGATGAATTATTTATGAACTGGAACTTCACTCATCAGCTCACTCTGGATCTTATATGAAGAGGTTGTTCTTTCTCTTAATACAGTTATCTTATGAGCCTTGTTTGAACATCTGTTGTCACACTTTGTAACATAGTCTGATTTCATGTTCTTTGATAGCAGATACCTGGGAGATCAGGTAGTTCAACCCGTATTGAAAGTTCTAAAAATTACTGACTGTTTAACTTTGACTGTTTAATGTTCTTCCTAGTTACTTTTGGAGAGGTGTGTGTTTTATCAAAAATGCAGGACAAATATTGAATGTGTGATGTTAGTGTATGTAAATAGTGGAAATGCAAATGCTAGACCAATATATTAAAGATTTTTCTTCAAAGATGTTCTTCGTTGCTTTTGTAAATACCACACTTCTTCTTACTGCTAAGAAGCTTCACTATTTTACGTGTACCTAGGTTCAGCTGCCTTCATTTACCTTGTTAGTTGATCTTGTGTACATGGCCTCTGTCATAGAATATCCTTTAAGCTATTGGACTAAAGTCAATAACCTTCTTAACATATTTTTAAACAGAAAACCAAAAAAAATTACTTCTTTTGTATTTTTACAAGTTTTGAGAACCAGTGATGAGTGTATACTCCTTAGTCTGTTTACATAGCACAAATAAAAAAGTTAGCAGTTTGATCAAGTTAAAATTATGTAAGGAATAAGAGATTGTTCCTCTTCACCTGCTAAGACTAGATTTAGTATAAATAATTCTATGTTGGATGCAGTTGTTGATTTGGCAATTAAATTGTTTTAAGCTAACATTATGTACTGCCTTCTACAGTATACGAATTGTGAGGATGTTCATTAACTGTTCATGTGAGACTTTCTAGCTATTGAGAGGAGAAGGGGTGTTCCAAGAAATGTTTCAGACATTAATCAGACATGAAATGCAAAAAAATGTATCTTAACATTTTTTCAGATTCAATGCTTTAGCTTAGTTGAGGTGACCTCCAGGATTTTTGTAACCTTTCTGTTACTGTAGAAGATTCATTCATCTGATAGAAGCTGGTTACTCTTTTATGTAGTGTGACCACAGAGCATTGTTTAAAAGATCTTCTACTGAGAGCAGTAAAAGCATTAAAAGTATTTGAGCATAATTCACTTTCAGAGGATAATAAATACATGTAAATAGTGGAGGCACTGAATCAAGATTCTAAGCTGTTAAACTGACTAGAATGATTAGAGTGGCCACTTGATCTTAAGCTGAAGTAACCTGGGCTGCTGCAAACCTGTGCTTTCTGTTGTTGAGACCAGTGATCATACAGTTGCACAGTGAAACACAGCCAAGCTTCTTCTAAGCTCATATTAGTAACAGTTTACGCTTGTAAGAGCTTAACTTGAAAAGTACTGGAGGACCTATGCTAGCTTTTATTAGTTCAGTCTCTACAGAAGTTTTTAATATATGTGTGACATTACTAATATGATTTTCTCTAGGTGATACTAAGATTGAAGTAATTACACCAACTGTTGTCCCTTAAAAAGCATCAATTTATTTTATCGAATTTCAAGTAACTTTCAGCAAGGCTTTCCTATGATAAAGTACAGTTTGTTACTCTTGTTATTCCTCAGAAAGGACTGTTTTGGGGTTCTTAGCTAATGCTTATCACACATGGAAGCTGACTGCTGTAATGAGATTGTGTCTAAAATACAAATGACTTTTTGGAATAGTGAAGGCTGGTGATTTATCTGGAAATCACTGGCCACGTGTTTACAGCTAAATTGATAGAAACATAGAATCATTTAGGTTGGAAAAGACCCTTAAGATCCAATCCACCGGTAAACCTAGCACAGCCAAGGCCACCATTAAACCATGTCCCTAAGCACCACATCTACATCTCTTTTAAATACCTCCTGGGATGATGACTGAACCACTTCCCTGGGCAGCCTGTTCCAATGATTGATAACCCTTTCATTGACGAAGTTTTTCCTAATACCTAGTCTAACCTCCCCTGGTGCAACTTAACCTGTTTTCTCTCCTCCTGTCACTTGGGAGAAGAGACCAATACCTACCTCACAACAACCGCCTTTCAGGTAGTCGTAGGAAGTGATAAGGTCTCCCCTTGGTCTCCTTTTCTCCTGACTGAACAACCCCAGTTCCCTCAGCCACTCCTCAAAAGACTTGTGTTCTAGACCCTTCACCAGCTTCATTGCTCTTATTTGGACGTGCTCCAGCACCTGTGATGGCTTTACACAGATCTACATTTGAAATGTGGTGGAATATTTAAGGTCATAAAAAGAAAGAGTTAAGTATGAAGATTTTTTAGGCCTGTAGTTGACGTCTGAGCTACAAAGCTTTTAATAATCCATTGAAATTTGGCTGATCAACTGGATGTGATGTGTCAAACTTTGTCCTTCATATACATTGCTTTTTTTACTGGTAAGTTGGGGGAGAATTTCCAAGGTGAGCTCAGGGTGCTAGGATGACTTGAAATAGTCCTAATTCTGTTCCTTAACACCCTTTTCAGCGCAAGAGTTCAGAATGGATGCTGTAAAGACAAAAAATAGTTCTTTCATTAGTCTGGAGATAAGATGCTCCTTTTCTCCTCAGAAGCTCAGTTGTTATTATTATAAAGCTGATGGACCAATTTTGATTTTTCTTCTATTAAAGCAAGAATTGTTATGCTAATTACTGCATTTATTGGAGACACAGGTAACACTAACTGTATTTTCCTTTCTTATGGAAAACTGTTACACTACATTTGGAGTGACTACAGGAGGAACAAAACTGAAGATGTTGCTTAGTCCTGAACTACTAGCTCTTTGTCCTTTCGATGTCTTCTCAGAAGCAGTAGAAAGCTAATTCTAATTTCAAGTAGTGGTCCCAGCCATTCTTGCAGTAGCCTCAACCGGGTAACCAGTTCTTGTTCACTGGGGTTAGCAGTGCATCAGAATCAAATGGTTTAACAGCTTCTGAGGAAGCAGGCTTCCTCTGGAAACTGCCCACATGTGGAGTTTTATGTGAAGGGAGACAGATGTTTTAAATTCTCAAGAGTTCCCTGAAGCACTGACCTAGTTTGACAGTACCATAGCAGGGCAATATCTTGGACAAGCTGTCTCAGAAGCAGAACTTTCTACTTTATTCTGCAGTATTTGTAGGAGTATGTTGAGCAAAAGTGTCGATAAACGAGCTTGGACTACATCTAACATACAGATTAAATAATTTTTAAAAAGTCTGGAAGGTACCCCAAGAGGTTACCTTCAAGTCATTTTTAACAATGCCGCTGTTGTAGTAGATGACTGTCTGATTTCTTTTTGAAGACCTTCCATCAGCCAACTTCTGTGTCTGTCATTCCTTAATATATTCAACTTTTCATCATGCTGAAGTTCAAGTATTGGGAATAGAACTGTACATTGTCATGTCATAGTATCACAACCATTATGGCTAGGTTTGGTCAGCTTCTGAATAAAATTGCTGTTGCTCGGAGAGTTGTGCTACATTGAATACTCTGTATCTAAATCTTGTGGCTCTCAGGGCTTGAATGTATATAAAATTATATAAATAAGCTTCTTTCTGAAAATCCAAAAGATCTTACAAGCAACCTTACTTGTTCACTTGAATAGGTTTGGTTTGGGCGTTCATAA